AGTTATTACAGCTCGAAATATATACTATATATATTTTGGCCCGATCCAATGTCTTTGGAACCGTGTTGCAATTATTTCCACACTACAAATTATACTATTCTTATAATTATTGAAGAATCCCACCAACAAACATATTACTACTACTATGATTTTTCGGTATTAACAACTCACATAATAAAAGTTATCACTAGAAATACTTGTTTACTTTAATGCATCTATTTTTGAAAGTAGAAACCCTAAATATATGGAAGAATGCAAAACAAAGAGTTTCTCTGTTTCTGCAACCCATCACTAATTTAAGCCTGTTGTCCATATTCTGTTACGTCATAGTTAATTTTCTCTTGTCCTTGGTAATGATAAAATAATTCCTGAGATTGAAAGTTGACAAGAAAAAAAAGGAGATTTGTTGAAAAGGATTGAATATATAGAAAATGAAACGCAAATCAAATGGAGCTTTAACTACCTCCACAAGTCTCATGCGCCATTACAGCTGCCCAACACAATTGTCTTATGACTCAATATATGCTGATAAAAAGATGTTTATTATAATGCATATCTATAATTAGATCGAAAACTTCATATGTCTCTCTATATGTTAATTAGTTCTTTGGGTATAAAATGTTGAAAGTAAACCTAAAAACCAGAACCTAAAAACCAGAATTACGTAAATGTCACATCACTAGGAGTAGTTCACTGTCCACGCCTTTGTGCAATTTATATTATTTTTGTGTTGGATCTAATCGTGTCGTACTTGAATTCAATGAAACGCGATAAACAAATATGATTTTCCAACCAGTTATGAATTTGTTCCATTATATTCGTACAAATGGATGTATCATCAATGTAACAAATATAGAAATATGAATCTTGTTCAAGCGTGAAATGCAACTATACGATTTTTTTCCTTTACTTCGATTAGCTCCATTTAAATAGTAATCTCAAAATGGTCAATGCTATACTATTATTTGAGAAGTACATCCTATAAATCGTAACGTTGATTTTGTAAAAAATTACAATATATGCCATTAAGATTTCTAATCATAATCATTTTAATTCCATATACGTCACTAATATATATTAACGGGTCAACGGATTTAAAGATATTAAAGAGATTTTGTTTAGATTTTATAATTTTTATAAATAAAATTTATAAAGAAAATGTTGTTATTCACGTATGATAAAAGTATTCACTAATCAAAAAATATAAATAGATCGTTTTTATTTACCTTAATCACGCATCAAATATATTTTGTTATTCAGTTTCCATAAAATCCTTTGAAAATATTGTTGGTAGTTATAATTTGTTTAGATTTAGATATAAATTCGTGCTATTAAAATTTATTTAATAAAAAATTTACGAATTTTGTGGTGTACATCTAAAAGTTAAAATCTAAATTGCTAACTAATCCGAGTTTGGTAACTATATTTTCGTTTGTTATTTTTAGTATTTATTAAAATTTTAGAAAATAAATGCTACATAATTTTCTATTTATTTTCTATAAATGTAAAAAAAATTCCAAGATTCTCATAATAAATACAAAATTTCAAAATATATTTAATGATGAATATTCTATAAGTCGAGATCATATTCAAATCTTTTTATTTCCTGAAATACGGCTTTTCTGTTATAAAAAAATATTCTATCTTTAGTTAATTATTTTAGTTTAAATATGTAAATATTAAAAGATTAATCAAAGGATTATCATTCAATTTATTAAGATTGCTCTCCAAGCTAAAAGAATATTCCACTAGAAGATTTTAAATTTTTAACCCTAAATCGACAACTCCTCTTTATTATATAAGATCATCAATTTCTCTGAACAAGACATCCATTTTTTTTCCCCAGTTACATATATGATTTTCTTTCTTTCTAATTTTGCTCAATCAAATTTATTTGTTTCAATTTAGCTTTCTTATTATCAGATTATATATAATTTCATATACATTGATGTTAATATCTTTTTCTAATATAAAACTTTTTTTACATTATGCAGGTGCATATTATATTTGATAATGGAAAAGAAAAATTCATATTTGATTGGGATGTGATTTTTAAAGTTCAAGGTACATTTCTTTTAATTTTTCATTGCTGCTACTTTGATATATGTTTTAACCAGATTTCAAGATTGAAAACTATAATATTACAACGAAAAAATGATAAGATTTGTAAGCTTAGATTTTTACTTTCAAATATATTAAAACTTGCTAACAAAAATATATTTGAAATTAAAGACTTGCTAACAAAAATTCCTTTTAATTGATATTTGTGTTTTATCTTGTGTCTTGACGTTGTTAATTAGTAAATTTATTCCGTAATCAAGAAAAAAAGAGATAAAATTCTTATCAAATATTCTTTTTCTTTTTTTTTCAACAACATGATACTAGGCTAAACAAAACCCAATATAGCCCACGTAAAAACTTAGACCCGATACAACTATTTTTTTTTTTTGCTCTCAATGACACAATGCAATTATGAATACCTAATTGAACTAAATAAATTGTTAATCTCATATAAACAAAAATACAATCTAATGCAGCTAAATATATTTGATGTACAATACAATATTATCTCCTTCTTTATTATCAAATCATGTTTTTCAACCAAGTTAAGATTAAACAACATTTAATTCCTACAATAAAATAACCCAATATATAGAATATAGATTTAAAATTATCATATACTATTATTTAATTCCACAAACAAAATATACGACCATCGTCAAATAAAATATATAACATTATATCCAAATAGTAATAAAAATAAAATATTATAATATATTCTCTTTTATACTATACTATTATACTATATTATTTTTTATATTTCGAACAAAATATATAATTTTTTTGATAAAATAAAATATTAAATCCCGTGTTGTATAGCACGTGCCATGATCTAGTTCGTTGAAATATTTTGTGTAAATATATTCATAAGTCTAAGGTCAATCATGTTATTTTCAGTTGGAAACAAAAGATATTCACATAAATTAGTATAACATATCGTAAAAATAATATATACATCAAATTGGTAAATTATCTTATTTTTGAATATATAAAAATAAAAACCGTTGAATATGACATAATATAATAAGTAACAAGTTGTATTCGTTTTGATCTGTATTATTGGACGAGGACAAAATAAAAATGTGGTGAGGTTCTTACAATATTTTGGGGTCTTCAAATTTATATATAAAAAACCAAATAAAAAAGTCGCGGCCTTTCCAAACACCAAGCAGCAGAAGTGACGCGGCGTGTCCGACATCGAGGTGGGTACGACCCGGTAAGGCGATCGGGTTTGGCTCGCCATAACGGGTGAGGCCGTGTGACCTTGCGACGCGGAGCCAGACAAGCTAGTAAGTTCGGGAGCATGTGGGGTTCACACGTTTTAACGAACACGTGGTCACGTGATATTTGCATGGCAATGGCATGTGGCGGCCACGACCAACTTTGTTTTTACAGTTCGATAAATTAATCTTTTTTTGCTCTCTAATTACTACTACTAATTTCTCAACTTTGGCAACTAGAAAGTATATATAAATATATACGATATCTATTTTCCAAGTATTTAATTCAAGTTCTAGAGTCGTTACGTTAAATTTCTTTCTATTTTCTACAAAATATAAAGTTCGTGGATTCATTGCTGTACTTATTTTTGTATTTCGAAAGGACTAAGGAATGCATGGATGAAGCAACGCCAACGTGGTAACATAAAGCTGCACTACTTAAATGGTCTAGATTTTTCGCCTATACCCTTAATTAAGTTGATATCATGTTGAGTGAATCTAAATTGTATGTAATAGATATAAGGGCTATATTTATTTATATGCCCAGACGATCCAAAAATTAAGTATCTATGTATGATAATATTATAATTAAGTAATTATAAAAGAGAAATTAAAAAATAAACCAAGTTTCTCCTTCTATTTATGATTAATAACGAAAATACCATTGATTAAAAAATTTGTTTTCCTACTTCAATATATCTGTGACACTGTTCATTCTGGCGTTGATTGTAGATGTAGGATTCACACTCGATTGTCTTTAAGTATTTTAGCGGAGAAAAACTCTTGTAAAATCAACAAAATGAATATAAGAATTTGAAAGGGAAAATAACCAAGAAAAGAAGTAAAGAAATTTAACAAGAACGAAGTACAAAATGCCTTGCGAAAGTAATAAGAGAGAAGGTATATTGTATTTCTTAGAAGTAAATGAGTAAAAAGATTTCTCCCTCAAACACATGCGTTTGAGGTTGTTTTTATAGAGAAAACATGATCAATGCGGTCATTTACTGCTCATAATCGCATTGATCCGCATTATTCATGTAGGTTACAACTTGACCGAAACGGCTTGAAGTTGAACTATCTTGGGTTTCGCATGGATCTTCCGAACTCTTTTTTGGTGACTCCAAACTCCCGCGTTTGACGCTACCGCGAGCCTCGAATAATATTCTCCTCGCTTCGGCCTTTCTCTATGCGAACTGTCTGTCGAATAAGAGCAAACTCCATACTGGCAAGGATTGAGCTCTTCTATTAGACTGAACCGAACTCCCAACTAGTTAAGCTCGATTCTTATAATAAAATATCTTTAATTCCAAGAGGATTATTATGTAATAATGACGTGGACAGATCCAAGTGGATCCTACCGATGATGTGTGGGATCCGACCCCAACATTTAGCCCCCCAAGTCTTGCGAGCTGAGTGCTCGGCTTGGAAGACTTAAGTAAACAGTAATTAATGAATTGAGATCTTTAACACTCTGGAAGTATTCCATGTTTTACGCTATTACGCTGATCTCGGATAATCAAGTGATTTGATATCCCTGACAACCGTCATCATTAATTTCTTAATTTTATATTAATACTGCGGGGAAAACTGTCCCGCTTCCCAATATTCTCGAGGCGGTTTTCCGCTAAATAGGGTTAAATGGAACGACGGCTTTTACAGTGTACATTCACCCCCGAAAGCTTTTACCAAACCAGAGAAAGAAAAATCTCTTAGTAAAAAATGTCCTCCCCAGCCGTCTACATTTCAGACAATGAAGATGACAGCCAAGGAATCCCTGTTCCCAGAGGGGACAAAGTCTTCACCCAAAGGGTAGATAAATTCGGTCCGCATATCAGGTCTCAATCGACCCATGCTTCCCTTAGCGCTCTTCGTCGCCTTTGTAACATTCCTCAGGAAATAGAATTCTCTCTTCCTAGACCCAACGAGTCTCCGGAAGTAGTGCGAGAGGGTTACTGTTGTGCGTACGAAGTCTATTTCAAAGGTTGCGGTTTATTTTTTCCCATACCGGAAGTTCTCCTTTTGTACCTCCATCTATGGATCGCTTTTCCCCAAATGGCTCCCAACTTTCTCCGGTATTTCCTGAGCACCCTGACCGTATCGGCAGAGGCTGGGTTTTCTCTCACCACCAGCGAACTCTTAGGGCTATTTCGAGCCCGTGATTTTGCGGCAGCGGGTATGTTTTCCATGAATCCTATCTTTGACCGTAAACTCATCGACGGAATGCCCCTGAATGATGGGCCTTGGAGGAAATACTGGTTCTTTTTCCGAATTAATCCTCATTCCGTTAAAGGGCTTTCCGGTCTTCTTCTCCCAAATTGGTCGTCTAAACTTGGTTAGAGTCAATCTTTATTACTTTACACTGTATTGTGTGAAAGAAATAGAATTCTTAACTCAACACTTTGTTTCAGGGAACCAGACGATCCCCCGTCCAACTGTTGACTTCTTATCTTTCTTTCGAATCGTTTCGGAGGGTGAAACAAATTGGAATTCCTTCACCCTTCAGCGTATTCATAAAGCGGGGCTCGCTATCGAAGATGGTCAAACTCACCCCCTCGATCCTCCTTCCGAAGAAAAAGACGCCTCGAGCCTGAATGCTCGGGATAAGCGAAAAATGCTCGCCGAGACTAAGGCTCTTAAGGATCAGTTATCCGAAATTGGAAAAAAGAAGCGGATAGCTGCAATCTCCAGGGTTGGTAACTTCCACAGGAAGACCCTCTTGGTTGATGATGGTTCTTTAGAAGCGGCTTTTTCAATTGTGGTGGATTCTCATGGAGCCGATATTCCTAACGACCCTCCAGTTGCCACCGCTATGTGCCCTTCTGCACAGGAGTAAGAGAGAGAAGTAACTCCTTCTCCTTGCACAAAGAGGAAGGCTCCAGACTCGGATACTTTATCAAACGAGAGACTCAAAACCGTTAGATTAAGTTCTCCGCCACGAGGCCCTAGCCCTTTACATTCTGTATTCCCCTCTTCAGAACCTTTAGACCCTGAGTTCCCTCTTCCGGGAGAGAGAGTAATTCCAGAAGAAGCCGAGACCGGAGGTTCTCTTATCTCAAGGATTGAGTGTTAGGACTCAAAACCCTTTACCGCATCGATTTCTGGTAAGTTTTTTTAGAACGCGAGCCTTAGCAAAACTTGTTACAGATTGCAGCTATTTTATTAATCTACTATTCTCCTCTGTTTTGTAGGCGAAGAAGAGATTGAAGACATCTTCCGAAGTTTTCAAACCAGGGAAGGGGCATCCCTTCCCCCTTTCTCGGTTTGGAGGCCGGAAATCCGTCAGATGTACGTCAATCGAGCCTGCCACCAATCCCAGTTTCGTATTTTTTTTTTAGATTTTGATTATGACAACCCCCTTTTTCTTAAGTAAAAAACTTTTTGCCTTAATGACACATTTTTTTTTACTCCGAAGGCGTTTATGGAGACTAATAGAATGATCTTCCATTATGAGAACCTTCTTCACCAAGCGATGAGAGAGACCGCAAAGGATAAGAAGGAGGTTGATGAACTTAGGTTAGTCAATCAGTCTGAGCGACTTGAGCAGGCAAAAGCCCTCGAGTCATCCTTTGAGAATATGAAGAAAACTCTAGCAGCTAATGAGCAATGCATCAGAATTGCGAACGCTGAAAGAGATTCTGCGAGGTCTAATGCTCTTCGCTTGGAGGCTGAGCTAGAAGAGGCTACAGCTTTGTTCGAAGAAACGAATCAAAAGACCGAGCTTTTAGTTAGGAACAGGGCTCGCAATATCGCTGAAGCCGAACATAATGCTCGAGAAGAGATGAGGAGATTCGGTAGGCAACTTATTCAATCTATTACGAAGTTTACCAAAGACGAAGAGGTCTGGACTAAACTTCTAACCGATCGAGCCGAGCTGAAGAGCAATCTTGATCTGATAGAGGACTAGAGAGTGGAAGAGTTTCGTTCGAGAGTGAGAGGAAAGAAGTTTCTGCTGAGCTCGCTGCAGTTGAATCCGAGCTATCATCGGCTTCCCGTCCTACTCTTGATCTGAAACAATTTTCTTTGGTGTTTAGAGATTCCCCCTCTCAATTCGAGGTAGGTGAGGGTTCTCGACTACGTGAGGGCTCTCCAGAGGTAGAAGAACGCTCTTAAAGAGTTGTCTTATTGAGTTCATGAGAACTACCCGTTTGACGGGAATGTTTTGTTTAATTAGTGTGACTGAACACCATCATGTACATGCACCTACATATGATTTTTTTTTTTATTTAAGTAAAACGTTTGGATGCGATTCTAGGTTTGCAAGTCCTAGCCCACCAAAGAGGTTTTATGAATTGTGAGAGATGAGCTGATCAGGCTCACTTGCCTTTTTTAAAGAAAAAATTTTAACAAGTACTTTTCCCCGGTCTCTCGGATGCGAGGATGGAGCTCAGCTTAAGTTTCTTATCGAGGGATAAGATTTTCATAATTCATGAGAATATTTGCATCAAAGATGATTGGGCAATGGCTTTGACCATAGCCTAAAAATGGCTCTGAATGTGGTGGGCTATGTTTTAGTTTGACCCGAAGTCTGATTTGGCAGGCCCGTTATATATATATATATATATATATATATATATATATATTTTAAAGAAAAAGTCCGAACACCTTTATCCTTTAAAAGAATTCTGGAAGACTCTCACAGTTAATTGTAAGAAAAAACTGAAACATGCCGCTATCTTCTTTCAGATCAAACTCAAGAATAACAACATCGAATGGGGATCCATTGTTTGGATCCGAAGATGGATTCTCTCCAAAGGGAGTCATTCACCCTACGTTTTTTCATTTCCAGACAGAGAAAGAAAGGGTCAAATGTTATGACTTCCTAGAAAAGGTTCCTTTTCTAATTTTTAGTCTTTTCGACAAACTGTATATTCTCTTTCAGACAGTTGACACAATGTTCACTCAAACATATCGTCGGGAGACATAAAGCCTTATGTGATAAGAGACAAAGAATCGGAAGAAGGCGTCATGGTCTTAATAATGAACGGATAAGGAAGATAGAAAGAGAGATTCATCGCCTCGAATCTGAACCGCATGAGTGGGAGAGGAAGGGTTTAGACATCGTGGCTATCATTCCTTCTTGCCTTCGAAGATTCCTCCGCGTGCTGGACAAATTATCACATCTATCCTTAGCAACTGGCGAGGGATCCTCTTTTGTTTCATGTTCTTCAGAGTTTCAGAGATTTTCGATGCTGAGAACTGAAAGGAACGAAGAAACGGAGGCGAAATCAATTGATCATTCCTCCGGTTTCCTCGATTTATCTTCTGACGAAGGGTTATTGTCAGAAAGCTGCTCGGGATCATCTACTTCGCTGTAATCGTTATCGGACGAAGACTTTTGATCGAACAATTCCCTTAATTTTCCTTTTTTTTTTTTTGTAAAATACTATTGGACTGGTGGCCCAGCGATATTAATTATATTCCCCTTTTTGCCTTAAATTTGCCGATTTACTCAATTCTGATTTAATGCGTTATATCTAGGGAATATAGTTAGTGATTAACTCGATTACATTTTCCACGAAGATAGTAATTTCAGATTTTGGGAAATCGTCAATTGATCCTCTTAAATGTAATTGAGTATATTTCGCATATAAAGTAGGTGTAGCTCATTATTGAATTTAATCAACAATAATTCTACAAAAATGTTCAAGGAAGGTAATTCTTCAGAGAATCCCTCCGACTCGTTTAAAAAGATAAGCGATGATCTTCCGGAAACGTCAGACATCGATCTTGTAAAAACGGAAGCCAACTGCGAACCAGAAGAGTCACGCCCATTAGGGTGGGGAACCAGCATTCAGGTTCCAAATGTGTTAATCGAGAGATTATCGGCTCAAGATCGCGTCAAGGCTAAAGAGTTTATTAACAAGGTATTGTTCAACCTAGTAACCTGACTCCTTTCGTTGTTTGTTAAACGAAGCGTTTTATTTTCTCAGCTTATTACTCGGCATAAAGAGCTCGAAGATGAGAAAAAAGAGATTAGAAAAAAGAGAATGAAACTAGAGAAGCGTTGCCTCAAAATTGCTCGCGAGCTTCATCGCCTCGAAGCCCATCCCTCTGATTCGATCGAGATAAGACTCCAGGAGTACGGAAACATGCCGGGTTGCATTCTGAGCGTCGTTGACCTCGCAGGCCAAGAAGCAGAGCTATTCCGTAATCCAAGACCCTTCTAGATCTGGTTTTTGCTTTAGCTAAAAATATTTCTTCATACATTGCTCGCAATCATATTTTTATATTTATGCTCGAATATCAAGTTTATAAAAACAAGACTCCATGATTGGAATAATATTTTTATTTTTATGATTATAGATGGACTCATGTTTAGCGAGCTGCCTACGTACCCAAAATAGGATCAAGCCAAATCGTAGTTCAATATGTTTGTTTTAGCAATAGAACTTTTTTAAGTTGATAATGTTCCAAGGCCTTTGAACGGGATTTCCGTCAAGGTCTTTTAAACGGTATACACTATTTCGGATTTTTTCTGTGATTTGATAAGGGCCTTCCCAGTTAATACCAAGTTTTCCAGCTCCTTCTTCTTTTGTGTTATCGAACACTCGCCTTAAAACAAAGTCTCCTACATTTAAAGGTCTGTTTTTCAACTTTGAACTATAGTATCGAGCGGTCAACTGTTGATAGTTCTGAAGTCGAAAAAGGGGTTGGTCTCGCCTTTCATCGATTGTATCGAGAACGTCTTCTAATAATTTAGAATTCAGTTCTTCGTTAAGTGTAGCTTCGCTCCGGCGTAAACCGGGAACGTTCAGCACGGCTGGGACTACTGCTTCCATCCCATATACTAATGAGAATGAAGTTTCTCCCGTTGCTCGTCTCGGGGTTGTTCGATATGCCCACAACACAGGTTGCAGTTCGTCATACCAACCACCTTTTCGAGCATTTAAACGTTTCTTAAGATTGCTGAGAATGATTTTATTGGAAACTTCTGCTTGCCCATTTCCTTGAGGATACCTCAGCGTTGAATAGCTAAGTTTTATCTCCCAAGAGGAACAAAAATCTTCAAATTCATTTGAAATGAACTGTGGACCATTATCCGTTACTATTTCGTAAGGAACTCCATGGCGACAAATAATGTGTTTCCACAAAAATGTCTTTACCACAAAATCTTGTATATTTACGTAAGCTTCAGCTTCGATCCACTTGGAAAAATAGTCCGTTAGAACTAATAAGTACTGGACGCCTCGCGTTGAGCGATGCATCGGGCCAACTATATCCATTGACCACCTCATGAAAGGGTATGGAGCGGATATAGATGATAGAAATTCAGATGGCTGGTGAATAAGAGGAACGTGCATCTGACACTTTTTACACCGTTTGGCGTAATCGATGCAATCAGAAATCATAGTTAGCCAGAAATATCCTAGCCGTTTGATTTTGAAAGCTATTGCTCGTCCCGAAGAATGACTACCGCAAAGCCCTTCATGGACCTCGCTTGTCACTATTTCAACTTCGGACCCGAAAATACATAATAGATAAGGATCACTGACGCCTCGCTTGTACAATGACTCTTTAATTATACAATACTTAAGAATGAACAAGCCGCACCCTTTGAGGTAGTTCTCCATTAAGAATGAAATTTTAGATGGGTACCCTCCAGTCAGCCCCCCAATCATTAGCGGAAGTAATATCCTTGAATATAAACTTCCTTGGTTCCGGCTCGGAAGGAATATCAGGATCATTTACCAGAACTTCTTCATTATTTGTGATATCCGGAAGTGATTGTTCAGCTCAAGATGGTTCTTTAATGGGAACCTCTTGATCTTTTAGTTTTCTTCTCGGCTTTCTTTTAGGAAGTTCTGTTTGTGGAGTAAGCTCGTCATCTTGAGA